ACCGTTCCAGGAGTATTTAATTTCAAAAAGTCTGAAATTCGAAGCAATATTTCCCACAAGAAATACTGGAAATACAATTAATCCGTTCCAGAAACCCAAAAATATTCACACAAAAAATACATTTTATAGAGATTAATTACAGTTTTACATACAACAAATACTATAGTTTTTAACCCTTTGAGGGTCGACAGGCCCTCTCCGAAACTCGTTCTCAGGGTCAGCCAAATTTAAAAAAAAAAAAAAAAAATTATTTTTTCTTATGAAAAAAAAGTTTTTTTTTCTAAACATTATAGGATAAACAAAAAAAATTTACCATCAATACTTACGGAGATATGGATGCATGAAGTTTGCAGAAAATGAGCCGCGTATGGCAACAGCGGCGACTGCCGCTCACCCGGTAAACTTTAGTTTACTTGTATTTGAAGGTTTTGTTGTTTTTTTCACTATTTTATTTTTTCACATAACTTATGTGGCCTGTGAGACCAAAGTAAGGTGCAATGTACATATATACACTTGTTGTATACAACACAATAGCACACAAACATAATTATCAATATATGTTTACAAAACTTGTTTACAAAACAAACAATACAAAACATTGTTTTATTATTATTGTTCTATAATATAATATACCAATATACAGTCACTGAACATATTCCTATTAGTTCTGCAGCTTGTGGAACTCTGAAACATGGTGTCATACACAATGGTGTTTTATCTTTCTCCCTCATTCTATCTCTTTCAATCTGTCTCTCTCTTTCTATCTGTCTGTCTATCTCTGTCTCACAGGTACACATAAATACAAGTATACATAGTATAAATTACCTAGGATAACCCAAGAAATCCAGACAAAGTGCTATACTCTGCTTGAAGATGTGAGTAAAAGTGATGACACAGTCTTGTGGCTCTCTGAGACAGAGAGCTAGACGGATAGACAGGGAGCTTGACAGACAGACAAATAGACAGACAGAAATGTTAGTGTACCAGTACCAGTGTACTAGTGTTCCACCCTCCTCCTCCACTTCTTCCTCTTCCTCCTCTTCCCCCTACTCTTCCTCCTCTTCCCCCTACTCTTCCTCCTCTTCCCCCTACTCTTCCTCATACTCTTCCTCTTCCTCCTCTTCCTCCTACTCTTCCTCTTCCTCCTCCTCCTCTTCTTCCTCTTCCTCCTCCTCTTCCCCCTAATCTTCCTCCTACTATTCCTCTTCCTCCTCCTCTTCCTCTTATTCCTCTTCCTCCTACTGTTCCTCTTCCTCCTCCTCCTCTTCTTCCTCTTCCCCCTACTCTTCCTCCTTCTCCTTCTCCTTCTCCTCCTCCTCCATAGTGTAAATTACCAGGAGTCGGCAGCTGTCAAAATGACATTGTCTCATTACTCACTCCCCCTCCACCCTCCCTGTCAAAACAATGGGGTCGGATGCTGCTTCCCTTCCTCCATTCTATCTAATTATCTTTCTCCCTCATTCTATCTGTCTGTTTATCTCTGTCTCACAGGTACACATAAAATACAAGTAATACATAGTATAAATTACCTAGGATAACCCAAGAAACTCAGACAAAGTGCTATACTCTGCTTGAAGATGTGAGTAAAAGTGATGACGCAGTCTTGTGGCTCTCTGAGACAGAGAGCTAGACGGATAGACAGGGAGCTTGACAGACAGGCAAATAGACAGACAGAAATGTTAGTATACCAGCAAAAACAAAGGGAGGGCAATGTTCATCTCATCTTTTGGCATCAGCTCTACCCTCATTTACCCTCATCAAACGTCAGCACTTATCAGATGTTATCTCCCCTTATCTTGTTACTGTCATGGGTGAACATTTATTATTACATATTATTATTATTATTACCTATTATTATTATGTATTATTATTATTATTATGTATTATTGTTATCATTACGTATTCTTCTTCCTCCTCCTCCTCCTCTTCTTCCTCCTCCTCCTCCTCCTCTTCATCTTCCTCCTCCTCCTCCTCTTCTTCTTCCTCCTCCTCCTCCTCCTCTTCTTCTTCCTCCTCCTCCTCTTCTCTTCCTCCTCCTCCTCTGCCTCCTCCTCCTCTTGCCTCCTCCTCCTCTTGCTCCTCCTCCTTCTGCCTCCCCTCCTCGCCTCCTCCTCCCTGCCTCCTCCTCCTCTGCCTCCCTCCTCCCCTCCTCCATTCTTGGAACAAGTTTGAAGAGCTTGTAGTATCATAATCACTATCATCACCAAGTGCCACATCTGAGTCTGGGATTTTGGAAAATAGAGTTATCCTCTTTGAGTCTTGTACAACGGAACTTGAACAAGAAGTGGGCCCATCACCAGAGGTGAAGGCTGTGGGTGTCTGGGTTTTCCTCATTCATACCCATATTAATGGTCATCATTACGGTCAAAACCTCAACATAACCTTGAAAACTCATCTTCACTGTCACTTCCATCTGTATTAGAACTTCCTGGGAACAAAAGTGTCCCAATTCGCCGAGGAGTGAGGAACTTCTTAGCCGCAGGGCATGGTGGAAATTGCGTTACTATATGGCATCCCTCAATGCACCACTGGGTCCCAGATTTTTTTCTACTGCGCACACCCACGCACACAGACGCCATTCTCTCACATCTGGCTTATCAGCCTTTTCTCCTGCGCGATTTTGAGGCCGCTATAATTTATGCGTACAGTACGTCAAAAACCCCTACCGTAAGACGTACTAGTACACCAAAACCCTCAAAGGGTTAATTTATTATAGTAATACATAAAAATAACATTTTTAACTTACCTTTATTGAAGATTGGGTGATGGGCATCTTCTGGAAGATAGAGGAAGAGAGAGAGGGATTTGGGGTTAGTGTTTGGAGAAGGAGAATCCCCCTCTATGAGGACTTCAGGAAAGCCCTCTCTGGGTTTACTTGATTTCAACTTCCGCTCTCGTCTTTAATGCCCACATAGGACCAGCTTGAGAGTCACTGGACCCCTTCCTCACAAAATAACTGTCCACGAGTCCTCTGTTTCTGGCGCCTCTAACATTTCCCCTTAAAATTGGACATGGTTATGTCACTGAACTTTGTTGCAAAGATGGGATTGTTTTCAGCTTGCTCAGGGTGGTACTGTCTGCACAAACATTTGGACATCATTCCACTTGGTACAAATCTCCTTAATCTTTGAAGAATCAACCTCATCCACTCCCTCTTCCTCCCTCCACTGAAGCAAGTTCTCAGCTGTGGTCTGATACTGCTCCAGATGAAGCTCTGCAGCTCTTCATGGTTAGCTCATCCCTGTGTCCCCCCTCCCTCCTCGCAATCTCCACATCCTCCACCACTCACCTCCAACCCAGGGGTTCCCCAGTGCCACAATAGAGTCCACAACAGGCAGAGGTCAGCTGGTCAGGTCAGCCTAAACCCTTCAAAAATCAAAATCCCTCTTTTGGACAATCTGGCCACAATTGTCTCCAAGCAGATTTCAAGTCCTGGAAGTCCACGTCCCTCCCAAGCCTTACCTATAAGCCTTATGGAGTTGTAAAGGTTGAAGTGATTCCCCAAACTCTCCAAACTTAGTGTCTGGGTCACTTCAAAGCACATTTTCAAACACTGCTTTTGCGTATGAGTTTTTTGAAGTAGAAAATGACCTGCTGGTCCATGGGCTGGAGGAGAGGAGATGGTGTTAGGAGCAAAAACTTCACTTTTGATAAACAGAAGTCCTTAGACAAGAGGACTAATAAGTATGGAGGATGAGCAGGACATTGTCGCATTAACAGGGCACTTGAGTGGCAATTCTTTTCCTGGAGGTATTTTTTTTCACACTGGGGCCAACACTCACAGACCCCACTTTAAAAATTTGTCTTGTGACCCATGCATTAAGATTAGCGTTCCACAAGACACATACTTGTTCTTTAAAGACATTGTTGGGAGAAAACATCTGGGATTTCTAATAGATACACAAGTAAAGGCGTCACTTTAAAATCACCACTAGCCATTAGCACATAATAAAAGAGTAAGCCTGTCTTTCATAGCCTTGTGTCCAGCGGTGCCTATTCCTCCGTGTGAATGAAGTCCTTTTTGGCCTTTTTCTTGCCAAAACAAGCTGATTCGTCACAATTAAAACACATTGTTTCAGGTTTGAATTCTTCACTGTCTAGTACCGCTTAACTCCTGGTAAAAACTTCTCAGCTGCCCATTTGTGTGACCTTGGCTGCCTCACCATGTCTAACAACATTGTGTATGCCACTATACGCTTCTTAAATCCAGTCAAACCAGCCTCTGCTGGCTCTTATTTCACTATCATCCACTGGTCCAGAAGTTTTCTGTAGCAGATCGGCATGCAACTTCCTTGCCTTTTCACAAATAATCTGAAACACTATCACCAGCAATCTCTATCCTTGATCCACGCACCAGCACAACTTCTCACCTCTTCAACTATTTGTGTG